TTTCTCTGTCTCTTGTCTGCGGCACTTTAGTCTCTTGTCTGCGGCACTTTCTCTGTCTCTTGAATGCGGCACTCTCTCTGTCTCTCGTATGCGGAACTCTCTATGTCTCTCGTCTGCGGCACTTTAGTCTCTTGTCTGCGGCACTCTCTCTGTCTCTTGTATGCGGAACTCTCTCTGTTTCTTGTATGCGGCACTCTCTCTGTCTCTTGTATGCGGAACTCTCTCTGTCTCTTGTATGCAGAACTCTCTCTGTCTCTTGTATGCGGAACTCTCTCTGTCTCTTGTATGCGGAACTCTCTGTTTCTTGTATGTGGAACTCTCTATGTCTCTCGTCTGCGGCACTCTCTCCGTCTCTCGTCTGCGGCACTCTCTCTGTCTCTCGTTTGCCAGCACTTTCTCTGTCTCTTGTCTGCGGCACTTTAGTCTCTTGTCTGCGGCACTTTCTCTGTCTCTTGAATGCGGCACTCTCTCTATCTCTTGTATGCGGAACTCTCTATGTCTCTTGTATGCGGCACTCTCTATGTCTCTTGTATGCGGAACTCTCTATGTCTCTCGTATGCGGAACTCTCTATGTCTCTCGTCTGCGGCACTCTCTCCGTCTCTCATCTGCAGCACTCTCTCCGTCTCTCGTCTGCGGCACTCTCTCCGTCTCTCGTCTGCGGCACTCTCTCTGTCTCTCGTTTGCCAGCACTTTCTCTGTCTCTTGTCTGCGGCACTTTAGTCTCTTGTCTGCGGCACTTTCTCTGTCTCTTGAATGCGGCACTCTCTATGTCTCTTGTATGCGGAACTCTCTATGCCTCTTGTATGCGGAAATCTCTATGTCCCTCGTCTGCGGTACTCTCTCCGTCTCACGTCTGCGGCTCTCTCTCTGTCTCTCGTTTGCCAGCACTTTCTCTGTCTCTTGTCTGCGGCACTTTAGTCTCTTGTCTGCGGCACTTTCTCTGTCTCTTGAATGCGGCACTCTCTCTGTCTCTTGTATGCGGCACTTTCTATGTCTCTTGTATGCGGAACTCTCTCTGTCTCTTGTATGCGGAACTCTCTCTGTCTCTTGTATGCGGAACTCTCTCTGTCTCTTGTATGCGGAACTCTCTCTGTCTCTTGTATGCGGAACTCTCTCTGTCTCTTGTATGCGGAACTCTCTCTGTCTCTTGTATTCGGAACTCTCTCTGTCTCTTGTATGCGGAACTCTCTCTGTCTCTTGTATGCGGAACTCTCTCTGTCTCTTGTATGCGGAACTCTCTATGTCTCTTGTATGCGGAACTCTCTCTGTCTCTTGTATGCGGAACTCTCTCTGTCTCTTGTATGCGGCACTCTCTCTGTCTCTTGTATGCGGAACTCTCTATGTTTCTTGTATGCGGAACTCTCTATGTCTCTCGTCTGCGGCACTCTCTCTGTCTCTCGTTTGCCAGCACTTTCTCTGTCTCTTGTCTGCGGCACTATCTCTGTCTCTTGAATGCGGCACTCTCTCTGTCTCTTGTATGCGGAACTCTCTCTGTCTCTTGTATGCGGCACTCTCTCTGTCTCTCGTCTGCGGCACTTTAGTCTCTAGTCTGCGGCACTTTCTCTGTCTCTTGAATGCGGCACTCTCTCTGTCTCTTGTATGCGGAACTCTCTATGTCTCTCGTCTGCGGCACTTTAGTCTCTTGTCTGCGGCACTTTCTCTATCTCTTGAATGCGGCACTCTCTCTGTCTCTTGTATGCGACACTCTCTCTGTCTCTCGTTTGCCAGCACTTTCTCTGTCTCTTGTCTGCGGCACTTTAGTCTCTTGTCTGCGGCACTTTCTCTGTCTCTTGAATGCGGCACTCTCTCTGTCTCTTGTATGCGGAACTCTCTATGTCTCTCGTCTGCGGCACTTTAGTCTCTTGTCTGCGGCACTTTCTCTGTCTCTTGTCTGCGGCACTTTAGTCTCTTGTCTGCGGCACTCTCTATGTCTCTTGTATGCGGAACTCTCTATGTCTCTTGTCTGCGGCACTCTCTCCGTCTCTTGTATGCGGAACTCTCTATGTCTCTTGTCTGCGGCACTCTCTATGTCTCTTGTATGCGGAACTCTCTATGTCTCTTGTATGCGGAACTCTCTATGTCTCTCGTCTGCGGCACTCTCTCTGTCTCTCGTCTGCGGCACTCTCTCCGTCTCTCGTCTGCGGCACTCTCTCCGTCTCTCGTCTGCGGCACTCTCTCTGTCTTTCGTTTGCCAGCACTTTCTCTGTCTCTTGTCTGCGGCACTTTAGTCTCTTGTCTGCGGCACTTTCTCTGTCTCTCGTCTGCGGCACTCTCTCTGTCTCTCGTCTGCGGCACTCTCTCCGTCTCTCGTATGCGACACTCTCTCTGTCTCTCGTTTGCCAGCACTTTCTCTGTCTCTTGTTTGCGGCACTTTAGTCTCTTGTCTGCGGCACTTTCTCTGTCTCTTGAATGCGGCACTCTCTATGTCTCTTGTATGCGGAACTCTCTATGTCTCTTGTATGCGGAACTCTCTATGTCTCTTGTATGCGGAACTCTCTCTGTCTTTTGTATGCGGAACTCTCTCTGTCTCTTGTATTCGGAACTCTCTCTGTCTCTTGTATGCGGAACTCTCTCTGTCTCTTGTATGCGGAACTCTCTATGTCTCTTGTATGCGGAACTCTCTCTGTCTCTTGTATGCGGAACTCTCTCTGTCTCTTGTATGCGGCACTCTCTCTGTCTCTTGTATGCGGAACTCTCTATGTTTCTTGTATGCGGAACTCTCTATGTCTCTCGTCTGCGGCACTCTCTCTGTCTCTCGTTTGCCAGCACTTTCTCTGTCTCTTGTCTGCGGCACATTAGTCTCTTGTCTGCGGCACTTTCTCTGTCTCTTGAATGCGGCACTCTCTCTGTCTCTTGTATGCGGAACTCTCTCTGTCTCTTGTATGCGGCACTCTCTCTGTCTCTCGTCTGCGGCACTTTAGTCTCTTGTCTGCGGCACTTTCTCTGTCTCTTGAATGCGGCACTCTCTCTGTCTCTTGTATGCGGAACTCTCTATGTCTCTCGTCTGCGGCACTTTAGTCTCTTGTCTGCGGCACTTTCTCTGTCTCTTGAATGCGGCACTCTCTCTGTCTCTTGTATGCGACACTCTCTCTGTCTCTCGTTTGCCAGCACTTTCTCTGTCTCTTGTCTGCGGCACTTTAGTCTCTTGTCTGCGGCACTTTCTCTGTCTCTTGAATGCGGCACTCTCTCTGTCTCTTGTATGCGGAACTCTCTATGTCTCTCGTCTGCGGCACTTTAGTCTCTTGTCTGCGGCACTTTCTCTGTCTCTTGTCTGCGGCACTTTAGTCTCTTGTCTGCGGCACTCTCTATGTCTCTTGTATGCGGAACTCTCTATGTCTCTTGTATGCGGAACTCTCTATGTCTCTCGTCTGCGGCACTCTCTCCGTCTCTCGTCTGCGGCACTCTCTCCGTCTCTCGTCTGCGGCACTCTCTCCGTCTCTCGTCTGCGGCACTCTCTCTGTCTCTCGTTTGCCAGCACTTTCTCTGTCTCTTGTCTGCGGCACTTTAGTCTCTTGTCTGCGGCACTTTCTCTGTCTCTTGAATGCGGCACTCTCTATGTCTCTTGTATGCGGAACTCTCTATGTCTCTTGTATGCGGAACTCTCTATGTCTCTTGTATGCGGAACTCTCTCTGTCTCTCGTCTGCGGCACTCTCTCTGTCTCTCGTTTGCCAACACTTTCTCTGTCTCTTGTCTGCGGCACTTTAGTCTCTTGTCTGCGGCACTTTCTCTGTCTCTTGAATGCGGCACTCTCTATGTCTCTTGTATGCGGAACTCTCTATGTCTCTTGTATGCGGAACTCTCTATGTCTCTTGTATGCGGAACTCTCTCTGTCTCTCGTCTGCGGCACTCTCTCTGTCTCTCGTTTGCCAACACTTTCTCTGTCTCTTGTCTGCGGCACTTTAGTCTCTTGTCTGCGGCACTTTCTCTGTCTCTTGAATGCGGCACTCTCTATGTCTCTCGTCTGCGGCACTTTAGTCTCTTGTCTGCGGCACTTTCTCTGTCTCTTGAATGCGGCACTCTCTCTGTCTCTTGTATGCGACACTCTCTCTGTCTCTCGTTTGCCAGCACTTTCTCTGTCTCTTGTCTGCGGCACTTTAGTCTCTTGTCTGCGGCACTTTCTCTGTCTCTTGAATGCGGCACTCTCTCTGTCTCTTGTATGCGGCACTCTCTATGTCTCTTGTATGCGGCACTCTCTCTGTCTCTTGTATGCGGCACTCTCTCTGTCTCTTGTATGCGGAACTCTCTCTGTCTCTTGTATGCGGAACTCTCTCTGTCTCTTGTATGCGGAACTCTCTCTGTCTCTTGTATGCGGAACTCTCTCTGTTTCTTGTATGCGGAACTCTCTCTGTCTCTTGTATGCGGAACTCTCTCTGTCTCTTGTATGCGGAACTCTCTCTGTCTCTTGTATGCGGAACTCTCTCTGTCTCTTGTATGCGGAACTCTCTGTCTCTTGTATGCGGAACTCTCTCTGTCTCTTGTATGCGGAACTCTCTCTGTCTCTTGTATGCGGAACTCTCTGTCTCTTGTATGCGGAACTCTCTCTGTCTCTTGTATGCGGAACTCTCTCTGTCTTTTGTATGCGGAACTCTCTCTGTCTCTTGTATGCGGCACTTTCTCTGTCTCTTGTATGCGGAACTCTCTCTGTCTCTTGTCTGCGGCACTCTCTCTGTCTCTTGTATGCGGAACTCTCTCTGTTTCTTGTATGTGGAACTCTCTCTGTCTCTTGTATGCGGAACTCTCTGTCTCTTGTATGCGGAACTCTCTCTGTCTCTTGTATGCGGAACTCTCTCTGTCTCTTGTATGCGGAACTCTCTCTGTCTCTTGTATGCGGAACTCTCTATGTCTCTCACTTGCCTGCACTTTCTCTGTCTCTCGTATGCGACACTCTCTCTGTCTCGCGTATGCGTGCACTCTCTCTCACACACACACTAGTGCACCCCGTCTCTTTTTCAATGTCTAGTCACCTATTTCTTGGGATAAGATCAACTAAATTCATGATTCAATTAAAATCTATTGTTTTTATTATTATTATTTCCATTGTTTCTTTATTGCAACATATAAATGCAAGACAAATTTTATTTATATTTATTTTAGACATTCAAGCGATCCACAAATCATTTTTACAGGTGATTGAGACACTTTGTAATTGTATATTTCACTATAAGCAACATAATGGCCAATTTATACATACATATTGCATCATCGTAATTAGTACATAAAAGGATAGCTACCGAATAATTGCGCATTTAAACAGTTCACACCTTAGCCTAACATTTGTTGTTGTTTTTCCGTTGGAAAATAGAAGAAAAATAGTCTACTGGGTACTTTTCTAGGAAATACCATAAAAATATGGAGAAAATAGCCCCAAAAATGTCTTTCTTCACATGTGGCAAAAGGACCAGGGTTGTGGAAGTAATTGTACATGTACATCAACGGAAAATCAAGACAACTAAATCACAAAACACAGCCAATGTGATAACACACATGTAACTACTTATTGAATGTCACTTACATATCAAGGTATTTATTTTTCACTTGGTAGACATCTTTCTCGATGTTTACAAAAATAATGTATTATCGTCAATCAATGCCTTTGGATTACAGCTGTAATAAAAATACCATTGTAGAGTAGAACGATATTAAAAGAGATAATTAATATTGTAAAAATAGAGATATTTATTGAAACATATTGTACTGTAGATAAGTGGGAAAATACACAATACACTAAATAATAAGAAAATGATTGGCGCTAGTTCAGAAGTCTCCAAACTTTGACCCATAACTACGGCGCGCGCACCCGCACCTGACCGTCGGTATGTAATTGTATTGCGCTTCAGTTTGCCGTAAATCCTGTGAGAAAGTGCAGATTATAAGTCTTCCTTTTTAGGAAAAATACTCTGAAAAAGATAAGAAAATTGACACAAAACAGGTAACAAACATATCGACTTTTAGATCATGACCTTTATTTGGACATTTGATGAATATTTACTTCATTTTTGGTATGTTTTAGTAGGGTATCTCCACGCCAGAGTTATGGGTCAAATTTTGGATAGACTTCTGAACTACCGCAAATAATTAACAAATTACCAAATTACATTTAAAAAGTAACAAATGAATAATCATAGAGAAAAATAGAAGAAATTATAGACTACAGAAAAGAGCAAACAAATAATAAAGCAAAGCAAAATGGTACAGTTTCATAAAAAAGAGCAAATTCATGAAAATGTACAGATATTTAATAGCTTGATATACTTGCTGAAAATGTCAGAGGTAATAATGTCAGAGGTAAAAATGTCAGAGGTAATTAAAAAAAAGGTCTGAGGTACAACAAAATGACGGGGTAAAAATCAGTGGCGTCGTAATATCTCGGCACTTTATCACACAAAATGTTGAGACGTTAGTTACTGGGTTAGTCTATTATATTCCCTTCTTCCATATCATAATGTATATTTCATAAATGACTGTGTATCAATGGATTGTACTAATTTGTACATGTCCTGAAGATAATACAATGTGTAAATAAAAGTAGATAAAAGTTAAAGAAAGAAGAAAACAAGGCATCGCTGAATTAATGACTGCAGAGAATCCTTCGTTATTCTTTCTCGATAAGCATAATATACAACCATTACATTTATTCAACCTGTATTAAACATGCTTATGTTTTTATATTTTTTACCTCTAGACATTTTTACACCGAGCCTAAAAATGACAGGACTAGTGTACCCTGATGAAGCCAAAAGAGATTCCCTTTCCTTCTGCCTATCATGGTGCAGTACTGAATGACAGGCAGGACTCTTTCAATCTGCGTAGACCTGCAAAAATAAGAAAAGATAAACTTAAAGGGATCTTTTAACAATTTTAGATCTGAGATGCAAGGCCTCACATGTTATCAGTGTCTGTGATATGGTGTAATAGTGAAGCCCTAAAAAAATTCTGCTTCAAAATGATCAAGAAATGCCTCAAAAAAGTAGAAATCTTTGAGTGACCTGTTTTACCATACTCGTCTTCCCCAATAGACTGTAGTGTTATGAAAACCATTTGGCAAACGCAAAATTTGGTTTCGATTTCCAATCATAACTATCTTGATAATTAGACAGGCGATCATCTTGTAAAAGTCATGGGGTTCCTGACTGACCTAAAGGTTTATAATTATCATTGCAGCATGAGCTAAATTCAGGATTTTGTTTCAGAATCTGAGACAAAGTCACCAGATCCCTTTAAAAAGAAGGTTGAGTCCTGGGAAGACGTGAACAAAAAATTGTGAGCGTTATCATTGTATTATGCAAGACTAGTGTAGAAGAACATCAGATAAAAAATGTTCCCTGAAAAGCATGGCTCTACAAAAGCCTTAATATTCTAAATATGGCTTGTAACATAAAAATCAGGACAGATCTTTATGCCACATGTTCGTGTACCCCATATACATCTTTCTGTGTACAGTGCTTGTAACTTTACCAAGACTGGGCCAAATTTCTTATCATTTTTTTTGGTGTACCATGTATAAACCGCACCCCCGACTTTGAATTTTTTTCGGCGGCAAAAAGGTGCGGTTTATACATCATTAATTACGGTAGTACCTTTTAGAGAACTCATTGTATATTTGTCAATATCTCTAAAGGATTATTAAAAAAATGATGTTACCTTCCGTTAATCTATGTCTTGGTACAGCAAACATTATCCGATACCAGCCGTACTCTCCCCCACAGTAACCAGCAGAGGGCGACAAACCAACCCCACCCTTCAAGAGGTGGAATGTAAGGCGCTTCTCCCCCTCCTCAGTGTCCTGCGAGAGGAACTAGGGATAATGATGAAAAAGAAAGTTAACATGACGAGTGAGATCAGAGAGTGGAAGAGGGGGACAGAGAAATACGTGGTAAGGAGGAGAGAGGGAGGGGGAGAGGGAGGGGGAGAGGGAGGGGGAGGAGGATAGAAAGATGGGGGAGGAAGTGGGAGAGCGGAGAAATTAGTTGGAAGAGGGACAGAAGGGCAACAGTGGGGGAGAGAGGGAAGGGGAGGGGTAGAGAGGGAGGGGAGAGAGAGAGAAAGAGAGGGGGACAGAGAGGTGAGGGAGAGAGGGGAAGGTTTAGAGTGGAGAGAGAGGGGGAGGAGAGAGGGAGAGGGTAAGATTTGGGGAGAGACAGGGGTGAGTTTAGCATGGGGGAGGGACAGTGGGAGGGGAGGAAGGAGAGAGAGGAAAATGAGAGGGGGAGAGGGAGGGGAGAGAGGGGGAGAAAGGGAGGGGGAGAGAGGGAGAAAGGGAGGGGGAGAGAGGGAGGAGGAGAGGAAGGGGGAGAGGTAGGGGAGAGAGGGAAGAGGAGAAGGGGAGGGTAGAGAGGGAGGGAGGACAGAGAGATGAGGGAGGAACAGGGAGAGAGGGGAAGGGTAAGAGTGGGGAGAGATGGAGGGGGAGGAGAGAGGGAGGGGGAGGAGAGAGGCAGGGGGGAGGAGAGAGGCAGGGGGGAGGAGAGAGGCAGGGGGGAGGAGAGAGGGAGGGGGGAGGAGAGAGGGAGAGGGTAAGATTTAGGGAAAGACAGGGGTAGAGGTTAGAATGGGGGAGGGACGGAGGGATGGGTGGGGTTGGAGAGGGAGAGGAGGAAGGAGAGAGAGGAAAATGAGAGGGGGAGATGGAGGACTGAGAGACAGAGGGGGGAGGGGGAGGGGGGGGGGGGAGGGTTAGAGAGAGATAAAAACTGCTCAAACTTTCCAGAGTTTCGCACTCCTGCCAAATTGGTTTTGAGATATATTAGACATGCAGTCAAACCTGTCTATTACGGACACACAAGAAATGGCCACTGTAGACAGGTTCTTCAAACATTATAGATGAAGGCTATATGGATGATTACTATAGCTGGTGGCCTTTATAGAGTGGTGGCTAAATCACACAGGTTTGAGAGTACTACACAGTGACCAAGGTGACTGCCAGTCCACCGCACACTATAACATCCTCATAACATCCACATTTCAAAGAAATGGCAATTTATATTGGTTCTGCATCCATCTCCCTAATTTCAGGTTCTAAATAATGATAAGAATACTAACAACTGGAACTTTTAGGGCGCTTAACTCTAAATAATAATAAGAATACTAACAACCGGAACTTTTAGTGTGCTTAACTCTTTGAGCCAGAATAAAAGCCAATTTGGCTTCAAATCGTAGACAGCCGCACTACTGGCGTGACGTCACTACGATTCTGAGCCGATTTAACTTTGTTCTTCTCCAAGGAAGCACTAAGATCCCTTGAAATGTCTATATCACTATTTTCGTATGACAATTTAGATCCTTGGTTAATTAAAATTTCAAGTTTTTGATCATTTATATAAAAATTATATTGCAAATTCTACCAAAATCAGATCGTAGTCACATCGCATAGTGTTTGTGTGTGCGGAGGGGTTAAGGCAACCCAAGCAGATAAATAGGTAAAATGCATCATTGTCTTCAATACAATCTTGAACATGCTCTTTACCTTGCCAAGGTTCGCCCATATGAAGAGACCAGCCTGAGGTCTGAAGTATGAAGCTCCTATCTCATCCAGGGTTTCCATGGTAATCCGACATGCATCTCTTATTCGTGAGAGGTTAGTAGGGAAGTAGGTACGCCTCAACCAATCTAAGAAGAGACAAGGAATACCCAAGCTTTATTTATTGACAACATATCTTCGCAGCAGAATGGCTGAATCGTTACAATATTTACAGATAATAGAGAATAAAAACTAAATTTACAATACAAAAGTACAACTACAAGGAATATATACATACAGAATAAGATATTTAAGAAAATTAACGTTGACGAGGCTACGTGTCTCTCTCGTGGCCTGACTCAGCCAATCGGGTATAATACGACTACGGACGGCACAACAGCAGTATTCACGTGCGTGCAACAAACAGGAAACCAAAGGGCGAGGAGAATTTTAGTCTGTTTCGTGAACGCTAGTGTACGCTAACCGTTTAATAATCAAGTCCCTTCGTTTACGTGCAGTTGTCCAAAAGAAGTTGTAGATGGCGTTAACCAGTATTTGCTACATCCCCTTTAAAGATTTGTGTTTGTAACAGAGAGAGTGAATATTAAACCAAAAGATAAAGATGATATCCACTCAAGCATTCATGCTTATGATAGTTGGCCTCAGCATTTATCTTGATTCTTTGATTTCCCTCCATAATTTCAAGTTTTCAAATTAAATAAATGTATTTTTTTGTTGTTAGTTGGTATTTCAGTTGTCAAATTGTATGTAAATGAATTATACTAGATACTATTATTGTTAATTGGATGATTTGTGTTTGATATTAATTCAGAAACATTGCTTGATAAAGACAAGTCTAATTAGCTATTAGGTCCCATACATTGTTTCATACAGTAAACAACCTACAAATAAAATGCTTCAGCAAATAATTAATTCAGGCTTGTTCAGCTATGGCAAGATAAACGGCTGAAAAAAAAAGGCCAGCACAGAGATACAGAGATCATCTTAACCTGTTGACTACTGAATTATTTAATTCCCATAGACTTAACACACGGTCTACCATGTTCCAATAGGCAAAGGGTTAAAAAAAACCTGAATGCTAAGGAAATTATTACAAGGGTTGGAATGCCCTTAAAGGGATAGTTGAGTTCTGTTGCAGAAGGCACTATGTACACAAAATATTTTTTTTGGTGAGATAATGAAAAACTGAGTGTCAAATTTGAAAGAACATACAATTTAAATGACAAAATCATCTTTGCTCGATCAAAATGGGTTCAGAGACGGCTGAAATATCAATAAATATAACGATTTCTAATATTTGGGTACCACCACAAATATTAGATAATTTGAAAAAGCCGTTGAAAAAACGAAATAGCACCTTTTACGTCATATTTCAGCCAATGCCGATGTTAGCTTTTTTGTTGGCATTTTTGGTTGCTTATATTACGCACAACCAACCGGCCTATGTATTGTTATTTTTAATTAAATAATGAATTAACGGTCACAATATTATTTTAAAGTGGAGCTGAATTGGTATGATCGTATTGGCTAAAGTTCACACATTTTGGGGTCTAAAATTACCTTCATAGCAATTTTAGGTTCTAAAAGGGCACTAGCAATGTCGTAGATTAGAATAAGAGCAATAACCATGCACTTTGAAGGCATTTGCAGTCTGAAAACAGAACTCAACTATCTCTTTAAGGCCCCTCTAAAGTGTTGGGAGCCCCAAATTCGCCAACAATTTGATGGAAAAATCAGGACATGTATCTACAGAACAAAGCAAAATAAAAAAAATCCACCTCTGGAGATGGGCATGCTATTGTGTTTTGACACATCTTGAAATTTCCTGAAATGTCTGGAAAAGACTGGTAATTGATGGTATTTGAAATAGAAGGCACGATCGATAGCTCAGTTGGTAGAGCAGTGGTCTTGTAATCCAGCGACACGGGTTCGAAACCAAGTTGATGCGCTAGTGCCCTTTGGTAGTGCCCTTTGGTAAGGCATTAATCCTCATTGCCAGGTCCCTCGGAGAGGACCTAAAGCCATCGGTCCTCTAATTGCTTACTAACAAGCTTTCTTAGCAGTCAGGTAAAATAACCACTACTACTTAAGTGTAGAAACACACCGGTTGAAATAGAAATCATCTGGGAGTGTCGTGGTCGAGTGGTTTAAGGCGCTTGACTGGAGATGCGAAGGTCGAGGGTTCGAATCCCGACATGGCACTAATATCCTTTGGCAAGATATTAACCTGCACTTGCTACTCTCCACCCAGGTGTCAAATGGGTACCCGGTAGGTTGCGGCCGTCATTGTTGGTCAAACAGCATGTGAGCGTCAAGTAACGCCCGGCTAAAATGCTCCCCAGGGAGTGGAGATTGTGAACACAGTGTGTGCGGGCAAGCACTGAATCCAATGACTGGGGTAATAATATATTTGTAAAGTGCTTAGAGACAGTTGTATTAAGCGCTATATAAAAATTAAATATCATTATTATTATACCTTTATCTTCTAGCATCTTAGCGGCGGCTGATTGGATGAAGCTGGATGCTTGCTGATAGTCATTCAGACTAACACATCTCTCAAGGACATCCTGGTTCCAGGTGTGTAGGACACCTAATGGAGATCCAGGAATACCAAAGTCCTAGAAAGAATGATTATAAAACTCAAATTAGAAGGGTACGTAGGCCAACCTCATATTTACGTTTCAAAGGGAGTGTAGCATGACGAGACTAGGTGTCTTTCCCGTGGCCTGACTCAAGGCCAATCGGGTATAATAGGACTACGGACAACGTAAGCAAAACTGAAGCGTGAGAAGAACTTCGGTCTGTTTCCGAATGCTAACACGTTGACCATTTATTCAAGTCCATTCGTTTACGTGCAGTTGTCCAAAGAAAGTCGTAGATGGCGTCAACCAGTATTTATCATGCTACATCCCCTTTAATAAAATAGCACAAAAATGAAAAACAGAAAGAAAGCTATGAATTTTGAATTTCTTATCAATAAAAAACTAATTGGCAACTCTGTGATGCCCTGTACATAATTTGTTTTCTTTTCTTTTTTCTTAGCTATTGATGAAGGAATATTTTTTTTCATGACGGGGGTTTGAAAAAAATCCGAAAAAAAAATCTTTTCGATGATTATCATGAACAATCGGAAATGTCCTTTAGAGACTAGTGATTTTTATCGGAATTCAGTTTTGCTTTATCTAGACTTAATAGTTTGATTTACAAACATGATAATTGGAAGAAAATAGATCTAATTTATATATACTATATACATTGAAGATATTTAACGAACAAGAGAGTATGAAAGAATATTTTAGAACACCATTTTCTACTCTGGTAATAATTGTCTATAAACCTAGTGACAACATGGGTTAAAGAGTCATTCTCAAATAAACCTCAATGAAAGATGAGGTATAAATGAAACACTGGTTAAAATAATTATGCAGTATGTTTAAGAAAATATGGTATTTTCCAAAGTATAGTCCTTCTCTAAACCCAAACTCTAAGTGATGAATATTACCAATAGTAACTATACAGTGCGTCCCAGAAAAAACAAAACCAAGAATTATTAGACAAAAGACTTCATGCCTGGCCGATTGTCAACGAAACGGAGTTAAGTCTTTTGTCGATTCTGCTTGTTGGTACGGCAGGCAGCCAGTGAAAACAAATTTGTTTGATACAATTATGGAAATACAAGCACTACTTTAAACAAACAGAACTTTGTTATTCCTACCTCATTTTTCCTGATTGAGGTGTCATATGAAAGAGTAGAAACTCAACTTTCTAGAAATGTGATTTTCTCTTAAAAATTCAGGACACCGCCCGCCAAATGACTTTTTGGTTTCCTCTCTTCAAATTGATTTTAATCACTCATGCATGGAATATGCATCATATGAGTTGCATCACATGAAAGAAGAGGGTCTAAGCTTTCCAAATATATGTCATTTATTAATCATAAATTCAACTAAGTTATGATAAAACAGCGATAATTCTCGGTTTTTCGTTTTTTCTGGGATGCACTGTACAGTGCAAAAAAGCAGCTTGACACTTTTTACTAAAGTTTCAGTTCGAGCACTGCAACTACAAAAAACCTGCTATAGTTCACCCCGATGGAGAGAGAGACAGCAGTAGATAAATGCCTTGTCTAAGGACATCCCATGTATCAAATTATCAAGTTTATTACGAGAATCGACACTTCAAAAAATATGATTTTTGTTGACATGTTGGTTAACCCATTGCATAGCAGTACAAGGTTCCCCTCAGACTTGTGGAAGTTCTGGTTCTGTAGCTTATTGTCACAGTGGGCAGAGGTTGATTAAAGTGGTGTAGTTCTGTTTCTCTTATATCTGTATGTGTTCCCCTCTTATTTGTATTCACTGTTTATATCTACATGCAAATATGTCAGTTTTAATTACATGTTCCCCTCTTATTTTTATTGCATGTTTATATCTACATACAAATAAGTTGGACTTAATTTTTGCTCTCACCATTATGATCATTAGATATTTTTCCCCCTTAAATAATGAACTATCAAAAATTGTAAATTCTGTAGAATTTTAACCTTCATTTGTAAGTCCCTTGAGAGACCAATGCCAGCAAATGGCGAGAAAAAATAGTGGCATGAATGGCCTGTCATAGTTTAAGTCCGACTTAATATTGATCTTAGTCTTTGTGAACCACCCACATGGACCTCTGCTCTTGCAGCTGAGTCTGGAATAAAGTCTTGAATTGATTTCACGAACATACCTTGCTGAAGCCATACAACATATGAGTCCTCTGTGGGTCAGGCACGGCCACTAGAGGGAGTCCTAGTACACTTGAGTTAGCTGTTGATTCATCATGGTTACTGCATTGATAAATCTCATCCATGATAACATGCAGGCTGTACCTAGAAAGATAAAGAAATATTGGACAGAGGAAGTAGTTGTCCTGGGGAGTGTTTCACAAAGACTAAGATCAACTTTAAGTTGGACTTAACTATGGCAGGCCGTTCATGCTACTAGATGCTCTCACCATTAAGATATTTAGATAATATTTTTTCCTTCAACAATGATCCATCAAATAATGTAAATTCTGTAGACCTCGATTTGTACGTCCCTTGAGAGATCAATGCCAGTACATGGTGAGAGCAAACAGTGGCATGAACGGCCTGCCATATCTAAGTCCAACTTCAAGTTTATCTTATTCTTTGTGAAACACAGTTGAAAGAGGTCTAGGCCCCACCCATAACACAATAAATTGCACTTTTGAATAATTGATTATGATTGGGTTAATAGTCAGCCCTAGCTGTTAACAATAGGTGCATGCAATGATGATCTTAATTAGCTATTACCATTTTGCAATTGATTACAAAGCATTGTGTTATGGGGCCCACAACCGAGTCCCTCATGAATTCATAATACCATTTATTATATTAACAAAAGCATTTTCTTCCACTTTTGCACACACCCCCCCCCCCCCCCCCCCTGGCTAAAATCTGCCTTAATCTTCACGCTCACCCTCCTTTTAATTTCTTAACTTCAACCCTGCACTCAACATTATTACGCTTAACTTAACCCAAGACCCCATTGCAACCCTTACCCTACTCTTCTGACGTAAGAAAACCCAGATATATTGTAGCGAGAGCGAACGTAGAAGCACCAAAATGGCATCCCTAAATACATCACAACCTCTTGGGTTTTTCCTCTATTTCGCCTTGCCTTACAAGACAGGAGACAATGGCACTGTAGAGATGCTATAGTGGAGTGGTTTGAACACTTCACTACAGATCCAATGGTCATGGGTTCAATCTGCGACAGGGTACTTCCGTCTTCAATCACGGCATTTTTGTCTATATTGCTTTTCTGCACCCAGGCGCGTTTAAAAATAGAACCTAGCCAGAGTACTTCCCAAGGTCGAACGGAGCATATTTTCTAACATGCAGGGAATAGCAAACAAATCCATTAGCCCAGGAATTACAATGTAAAGCACTAATAAACTCTACAAATGTGACTACAAAGTCTTACTTCTTGCAGAATGCTAGATAGGCCTGGACCTGTTCCTTAGTATAGACCAGTCCCAGCGGATTGCTCGGATTCACAAGAAAGACCCCACGAACACGGTGACCCTAGAAAAAAAAAGGAACATTCAAAAACACCTGTTACGTTGGTTACCTCACATTTGCTCTTGGCTTTTAATGTTTAATGTTTCATGTTTAATAAGAAACATAATAATAATTTTCCAGCAGATACAAAGAGCTGTCCCTTAATCAAAACAAATTATAAAGAATTGTAGAGATATGTTTGCAGATGTATTTTGAAGGAGTCAAGTGAACTATTATTTCTTAGAAATGCAGGGAGGTTATTCCTTGAACGGATTTCAAGCCAGCCTGTTTTTTGGGATTTGAATTTGGGAAAGAGAAGGGAAGGAGCTGATGTAGATCAAAGTGAATATGATGTTCTCTGATGCTGATAGAGGAATGGATAGGAGGTAATGCTGTCTGGCTCTCAACAAATGATATATAATGAATGTATGTCTTTCATGCACTCTATTGAAGTTCACAGAGTGCATGAACAGAGGTCTTACAGCACGCTGCATTTATTGCAAATGAATATTAAAGCCATCTCCCCCATCCCCCACCCTTTGACCCAGATATATGCGGGCACACCTGAACTTCTAAAGACCGGTAGTTTAAAAGGGCATCAACCTTCATCAGCATCAAAACAGGAAGACCAGGGTGCTACAAGAATTTTTTTCACCACTTGCCCTGTCGGGCAAGTGGGTTTTCAATTTACTTGCCCAAACAATATTTCCACTTGCCCAAAACTTTAAAGCGAAAAAGGACTCGAGGTTAAAGCATTTATTATCTCGTAATGATAAGTTAGTGTTTTAGATAGCAAATTAATGCACATACATGTACAGTGTAACTGTACTGAATAATAACCTAATATGTCAAAGAAAATGGTCAACAAAGGATGGTTGAAGGTTTAAAAAACGCATTTTATTGATTCTCCATAAATAATCAGATTCACATGAATCTCGGCAAGGTAGAATGGTTCAAGCAGGTTTAAGTTTTTAATATTCAGTCATGTAAAAAAGCATAATGACCCTGTTGTAAAAAATATGATACAAACATGTCATTAATGGTAGCCACATGTACCATGGTGCAACATCACATGTGTGTCTGTGCAAGCCGCTGTCATTTGGAAACGTAGGCTAATTTTCAGCTGTTAATAATTTGGGTCAACTCTTCCATCAAGAAACGTCATGTAAATAATGGGTAATCAACTATTTTAAATAAAGTACGGACATTTTTATTTCATCATTCACTGCTATAAATATCATGCCAAAATTTGTAAATTCTTACTAAATAATAATATTGAAGATATTTTACGATAAATCTCGGATAAGTATGCGAAAACTAGACTAAACAACGTCGCTAAAACCATGAAAACAAAACAACAACGGCTTATATTCTGAGGGTCTCGATACTATTATCAAAATGACTCGCTCGGTCGGATCTTGAGACCGCAGTAATAAATTGAAAACGAGACAAAAACATTCATCTGATTTATATGAGCAGCGAGTTTTAAATAATATGTTCACAATCATTAACAGTCATTATGAATAAATATCAAACATTTGACTTTTTGTACTTACTAGAAAATCCCTGTTGTTTATTCCATTCCGATTCGCACGTGTTCATTTCCCTAGAATAATGACGTCATATTTGGCGTGATTCAACCAATCGGCAATCAGAGAATAGCAAAGGCCTGTCGGTGCGGCCTGCAGAGCTAGAGAGAGAGAGCGCGAATAAGCTCGCAGCTGGTACGATCGCGCTAGCTGTCTCTAGCTAGCTCACGGCCGGCCGTGCGTGGAGGCGGAGCGGCATTCATGGCTTGAAGTGTCACTGTTGCATGCGCGCTGAGCTAGCTGAGCTGGCTAGCTGTCTGTGAAGTTTTTTCGAAATCGGAACGATCGCTTTTTTGCTTCTGGATTTTGACGACGGGTAAGAAGTTGACGGGTGAATGGTAGAGTTCTTGGACACTAGGAAATTACT